GTTGCTATTGGATTAATATAATTGAGTTTTGGTAACATTTGATAAGGGAATGTTGCTAATGTCACATTTTTCAACGTTTTTGGGATGTTGCGAAAAGGTTAAATTTTATGCACGTTTAATAAACGTTGCAAAATGTCGACTTTTTGCAAAGTTTTTTAAACGTTGCGGAAGAGCCTTCCGCAACGTTTTTTTAAACGTTGCCGTATCTCTTCTTTCAACGGAAACACTGACCCCCGTAACACGTTAAAACGCTGTAAAAGACTTTTTGTAGCGTTTTTTGACCGCTGCAAAAGGTGTTTTTTGGTATAGTGTGGATCAATCTTCAGATTTTAAAGCACTGCAACACTGACCCCCGCAACACACGTTAAAACACTGTAAAAGACTTTTTGCAGCGTTTTTTGGCGGCTGCAAAAGGTGTTTTTTGGTGTAGTGTGGATCAATCTTCAGATTTTAAAGCACGTGAGGAAGAAAATGGACGGTGAATTTAGGAAAAATGGTGGTAGGTAAATGAAGAGAAAATATGGGTCTGTGGGTCGGAAAAGAAAATGGAGTGGAAAAAGATATTTTGTTTACTTGAAGAAGAGAAGAATGGGAAAACAAAAGTTACAAGGAAATGTGAATCTTGTGCTTCAAAAAAGTTCTAGCAGGGACGATGGTGGACAAAAGAGAAAGAAGATGAAGTAAATTTTGTTTTTTTAGTTTTGATTTTTAATTATTTATTTGAGATCCATTGGTAATTTTTTGAAAATTTTGAGACTATAATTACAATTAGTTATTTATTTATTTTTTCTTTTTTAAATAGAAGGGCATATTCATCATTTCATAACTTTTTGTTGAGAAATTAGATGAAAATGATGATTTTCGTAATAAGATGTTGACATATGGGTGAAAATGCAAAAAAATAAAAAATAAAAATGCAACATTGAGATGTTTTGCACAATGAACTTCATACATAAAGATGTTTTGTGCTAATAACCCTTTGTTGAACTACATTATAGATAGGAACGTTAACCATACTAACAGAGTATTGGTCTCGAATTGAGGTAGGCCATGACAAAACTTATAAATAATAATTTATAACTCATAACTCAATGACTCATACAACATAAATTATTTATCACAGATTTACAAATCACAATTCTCATTTGAATGTTAAGCAACACAAGAGGCTGTAGCAACCCGCACAGCGGTACGATGGGCTACAGTAGGAGGTGGAGCCAGGAGGCGTGGCATGGATGACGGTTTCTGTGAGCTGTGATCTGTGTGCGTATGTTTTCTTCTCAATGTTCTCATCTGAATCATGGAATACTATATTTCACAAGATCAACGGAATTTGAATTGTGCCTGATTATTTTAAAAAGGGCCCACAGCAATTAACCAAGTCCACAGCCTAGAATAACCCAAACTTAAAAAAACGAAAAAATAAACCAGAAACCTCTGTCGTCGGTCCGGTCGCCTTCTTCCTTCTTCTTTCTACTGTTCTGGTAGAGCCCAACAGGCGTGGCCTCGCCCCCCTCGCCGGGTGCTGGGTCCATCACTGATTACTAACATAAAATTTACTTAATACACCACATCATAATAACATCACAATTAAAATATATTTTCTATAAATACACCAAAATGAATTTACAAATATAATCCTAATCCAATAAAAACTGAAAATTTTAAAAAATAATAATAAAATTATTGTGGTGTACTCATGGATAATGGCAAGTCTAGGACAAAAATCCAATGTCTAGGTTTATGTACATCCTTCGATCATCATCTCTTGGGTGTTCGACGAATTTCCCGAACCAACTTCGGCGGCTGCAATGGCTTGTGCCTTTCGGCTGCTGAGTTTAAAATCAATGCTTGTGCCTTTTCATAGCTATGGAAAGAGTTCAATTCAGCTCTTCCTCAGTGGTCATGGATCCCCTCTTGACAACGGTCCGAGATTCCCTTCAATCATGTAATTCTCGTACATGTTCCCATGGGCGGACTTGGGGGGGTCCTGGGGGCAAGTGCCACCCCAAACATTTTGAGATTTTTCTTTTTAATAAAATCGTGTTTGGTATCGATTGAAATCTAAATTTTAATCTAAATAAAAGTTAACAATAAACTTTAATAACATATTTTATGAAATCCATAACTGTTTAACTTTTATCAAAATTTGCTAAAAATTTGATTTTAATCTCCACCAAATAGTGGCAAAATCACAATAAATTTGCATTTTCATAACATGCTAATTTTAAAAATTCTCCGACGATCGTACGCTAATCGAATCTACAAATTGTTTATGTCATCTCAAAACTTATTTCGAGAATTACATTATGGGCATATCGAATAGTCCAAACAGATATTGAAAATAGTTAAAAATACGTTAAACGTAAGTCTTAAAAAACGTCTAACTCGCATTTTTTAAAAAAATTCAATTATTTCATTCACATTTTTTATTTTTGAGATACAAATTTTTCAATATAATTTTCATCATTTTATTAGGAAATTTTATATGGAATATGACATCAAAAATTTTCGAAATTTTACATCCGAAAAAGTCGAATCCCATGTAAATTTTCGGATGTAAAATTACATGAGGTATGATTTTTTTGGACGTAAATTTTCGATTGTAAAATTTCTCCCAACTTCTTTACAAGTTCGATTGTGCCCCCTAACTTTTAAGGTCTGCGTCCGCCCCTACATGTTCCTATCAATTAATTTAATCCAAAAGTTATATGATTTATTTTCCAAATTTGTTTTTTCTCTTAAGATGGAAGGTTACTTATCCATAGAAAATGTAATTCTTCCTGGTTTTGATGAGGTGGGTTTTTCTGAAATCTGCAACTTCAACATTTCTTCATTCATTTTTGCAGCCAGAAAAAGAGAATGAAGTATTCGAAGTTATTCACAAATATTCTAATGTTTTGTTTTACAAGAAGATCATCGTAAAGGGGATCAAATTGATAAAGAAGAGTATAGTTGCTCCTAAGTAGATGAATTTATTGAAACGAAGTTCAAAAAAATATAGAGAATCATGGAGGCAGAACTCGCAACTATACAATAAAAAATATGAAAGAAAAGAGAAAAAATTATATTTATGTATGTGGTGGAACAATAATTTATTTCGTTAGAAAGTATATTAAAATTCTAGTTATGTAATTTTACTTGAGGTTATTTAAGCAAATAAAAAAATACTAAAAATTGTGGTGCACTTAGTAAATTTTGTGGTGGTAATATAAATACCCAATATAGAATTGTTAAGGATATTATGGTGGCTATTTATAAGAACAAAGAAAACACTCAAGCATGCGCATCAGAATGGACATGCCTATGAAACTCTTGCAGTGAATTAATCACTGCTTGACCTAATAATACAAGGTTTAAGTGTCTAAGTACGAGGTCTATGGTTTAGTATTTCTGGGAAGTCATAAAATTGTCAATTTTATGAAAATACATCGACCCTTTGAGGCCCCTTGTTTCTGAAGTAGTTCAATACGCTCAAGGTAGCCACCATACGTACACGCTACAGCACACGTATTTCTATTTCTTGACAGTACCTCCGTTTACACGTAAACGACCCTTCTTTCAAGCCCGGCTCAGTTTGTCAGAAGGGACAGCAGCCTGTGCCCACGAAGATGGTTTAACTCCTCTCACCAGTAACTTTGATGCAAATGTGCCGTTTAAATTTTTCCTCTTAGCTTCCAGTTCCAGGCGTCTTTTATCAGATGTAGAAGATCCAGACGATCCAGAAAATATTGAAGCAGGGTGAATTAGTTTAGTGCCCTCTTATCCTTTATGCTCTTATTAAATTTCGAAGCAAATTTAATGGGAGAAGCAGCAGCAGTATACTCTTCAGACGGAGGAAAAAGTCTTATTGCAGGTCATGCTTTTCTAGAGTTTGCCTCTACTTCGGCTACACTTTTGGGCCCGAAGCTTGGTTTGTGATGATTAGTTCAGGACACAATCATCTGAATGCCTGCATCAGAAACTCGCTGAAGACGCAGAGTACTGGCTGAGCTTCTTTATTCTTCTTGATATCTTCTTCATGCTGTTCAGGATGGTAGGAAGGATTTGTCAACTTGCTTCTTTCTCGTAAAGAACAAAGAATATTGTACGAGGACAAAAGGTTTATTCTCGATGATTTTTGAGCACTGCCACTCATTCCGATCATTGAAAAATCCCACAATAATTTCCATCGCAACCATTTCAGGCTGTAGTAATCATAGTGTGCCTCTTCCTCCTATAGCATATTCCACTAATAAGATCGCACCACTTTTGTCAGCTAGAAGTTCTCTAAGTCTATCGAAGACAAGTCCCAACCACCCAAGTCTTCCTTCCCTTTCTTATCCTCAATTATATTAATTGACAGCAATAACAGCATGAAATCATGTCAAATGCTAGCAGCAATGTCCAATTAGTGGTAAACTTCTCAATGTAGATGTTAATAACTCCAAACAACGACAGAAAATTCTCACCACCATCTACTGGAACTCTAGGAGTACCAAAGTTTTGTCGGGTTCCACTAAGTATCACGTACTCACAATTTTTTAGATCTGTATCAATAACAATCTCATGTTTGCAGCAAGCAGACTTCATTGTAAAGCTCCATATCTGGAAAAAGGAACATAAAAAAATAAGCATTATCAGTTCTAAGAACTGACTTAGTTGAAATTTTTTGCATACAACCAACCTTTGCAGAGTAATAATTCTGGATTTGCTTCTTCTCTCGTTGAACCATATACCCTTTGGAATCATGGACTCTTCCACCACACCAAACATTAAAAGGCATCTAAAACCTGGAAACTAGGAATCATATATTAAGAGTAACAAGCTAGTAATCTCAAAAAACAAACATCATGTAAAGACATTTTACACAACGATGTTGTCTAATAAGCAAATCATAAGAATGGTCATAAGAAATTACAAAGCATTTGACGGAGTTATTGATTTGAACAACGAAATAGATAAGTTAATTTCTTTGACAAGTCATCAGTTAGTTTCTTTATTGCCAAATTATTTTTATGAGAACCATAGACGCAATTTAATTTTTGAAATATAAAGTGACCGTGGCATCCAAAAAAAAAACAGTGGTTACTATTAATATGACACAAGGACCAAAATCAAGACAGATGAATTTAAGACCTTCCACTGCATAAACTTAAGTATACATTTCAATATAGGTGCAGCCCATTAGGGAAGCACTTCAAGAGGAACAAAAATGTTCTAACATATCTCTATATCCACATATCACTTGGTTCCTGATTTTCTTTAGCTTCGTTCCACAATTCAAAATTACATAGTTATAGTGCATCTTAGAATAAAATTAAATAGCCAACAAATTGGTTACGCTTGACGCAAATTTCCCACACAAGTTCCTAAGAACAAAATTTTTAGTGCAATAGGCTTCCCATTGGGAAACTGGAAATTGAAGTATAAGTGTTTTCAAGCATTGGAGCTGAGAATAGTATGCAGATGGATGAACAGACACTCTTAGTTCATTACCTTATAATCAAGATGCCTTAATCTATTTTTCTTGCTCTCTCTCACTCAAAGCATGTTGACCATGGAACTTGTTCAACCCACCCCGAAAAGAAACGCATTGTAATCCACAGAAATGGTAACTGATCACAAAAACCAAACCATTCAATATTACATCTACATACTGTTAAAGAATATACAGAACAGAGTACAAAAATGCATACCTTTTTCAGTTTCATTCTGGAGAATATTAAAAATTATCTGCTCTCGCAGCTGCAAGTGATGACTGTAGAATCCAAATAGATTAACTTCAATCACTCGAAGAAATGAAAATTTTGAGTAAACAAAAATCATAAATATATAGCATCACAAGTAAAAATATAAAATTTCTGTGTCTAGAAACTACAATAAAATACTTAATATAGGTAATAACAGAATAGAAAGCTGATTTGAGTGTATCATAATAAATAATTAACTACCAACAATATAATTTTTCATACATCCTTATAGCAATTTAGCATATCTGATATTACTTTCTCATTAAAATTTTACAAACTTTTCCCTTTAATTTAACAAGAACAAAACATATTGCTTTTTTCAGTTCTGAAAAATATGATTAGAAAAATTAAAAATAAAACCTTTTTCAATCCGAACTCTAGGGAGCTCAATAAAAAAGCCACGGCTATCTTAGAAATGATCCTATTAATACACTGCTCAAATTTTATATTGAAATCATTACCTAAATTCCTAGATAATATAAACCCTATCCATTAACCACGATTCAATTCATAACTTGATCATCAATTTCATAAGTGACCTCACAAGCCCTAAACGATTACAAAGAGTCAGAAATGAATATTCTGCTGTGTATTAAATAATGGTTCCATCTTTACAATATATATACAAGGGGAAAGAGGGATGAATTAACAACTACTTAACAACTCTAACAGAATGCTAACAGCTAATATTCTCTAATAATGCCCCTCAAACTTAGAGTGTGGTTCTCTGTAACCCTAAGTTTGTCACGACGAAGAAGAAAGCGAGAGTTACTTAATGCCAAAGTAAAAATGTCAGCAATTTGATCACAAGAGGGGACATGTTTGATAGTGATCTGTTTTTGCATAACTTTCTCACTCACGAAGTATAGGTCCAGTTCAATGTGTTTTGTCCTGGCATGAAGAATGGGATTTGCAGACATCAACACAGAGCTGAGATTATCACACCAAAGAACGGGTGGGCTGACTTGATCAATATGTATCTCTTGTAACAAAGATTGGAGCCAAGATACTTCAGCAGTTAATGTAGCCATGCTTCGATAGTCAGCATCGGTGCTACTCCTGGAAATTGTGCTTTGCTTCTTTGACGACCATGAGACCAAGTTATTTCAAATGTAGAGACAATAACCAGTGGTTAATCTACGATCATCAGGGTCGGAGGCCCAGTCGGCATCACAAAAACCAGTGAATGATTCGACGAGTGAGATGCAGCTCGGAATGGAGTGATCCCTTGAGATAATGCAAAATTCGCTTTACTGTTTTCAGTGAGATTCAAGTGGTTGTTGCATAAATTGACACACTCAATTAACAGAGTATGCAATTTCAGGTCTGGTGATCGTGACATATTGCAGTGCTCCTACGATGCTCCTGTATAATTGCACATCCTGGGTGGGATTACTGCCAAAATAATATAGTTTTTCACTGCCACTCATAGGAGTAGGTAAGCTGTTGGCATATTGCATCTTGACTCTACAGAGGAGATCAGTAATGTACTTTGTTTGATTGAGCAAAAGTCCATCAGCGGTAGCTTCAGCTTGAATACCCAAGAAACAGTTGATGGGGCCAAGATCTTTCAGGGCAAACTTGGTGTTGAGATGCTGAATAAGCTTATTGATTTCTGTGGTGTTACTTCCAGTAACAAGGATATCATCGACATACACGAAAACAAACAAGGTGCTATGAGAGGAGTGTTTGATGAATAGAGTCTGGTATGATTTAGCAGAGGTGAAACCAAAGGCGGTGAGGGCACTCCTGAGTTTGTCAAACCATGCCCTTGGGGCTTGTTTTAGGCCATACAAAACTTTATGTAATCTGCACATTAGAAAAAAACATAAATCGAGAATAATAAAGAAATTAATTAACTGAAGTAAAATCAAATTAGAAAAGGAACGAGATCACTCTTTTATAATTGAATTTCTTAACTTTTATACCGTCTCCCCGACAACGACGCCAAAATTTGATTACGCCCAAAGAATAACGTGGTAGTTGTAGCACAACTTTGGAGTGTCGTATCCACAAGGAAATGGAAGAATATTTAAAGGATAAAAAAGGTTGAATTGTTTTCTCAAATGTGTANTAGTTTCCCTATACCACAATTACGCATTCATGTGTTGGAATAAGATCAAAAAAACGACTTTATACATCAAACATAAAGTAGTAAACAATCCACCAATAACATTCGTGAGATAATTCAGCAAATATTTCAATTCGTCAATAGAAAAAGTTTGACTTAATTTATGATTAATTTAATAAAAATTAAATAAATCTCATTAAAAATTCAGGAAAAGAAACTATAAATTCTATAGTTTTTCGACAAGAAAATACCAAAATACGTGAATAATATATATGAAATCACTAATTCCGAAGGAGTTCCTCCCTAGCTTTACCAATGGTTTAGTTCTTTATGGGTTTTTTGAGCCAAAATTAATGAAAGAATGGTGTATAATGAAGAATTCCGCGTTCTGAGCCGTTCTAGGGTATTTTAGGGTTGAGAAATCGTGTCAAAATAAGTTACCATAAGTGGTTGACTTAAATTCAGAAACCAGAATTTTTGCCTTGAAAATACCCTATGCGACCGCATAGGTATAAGTGTTGTGGTCACATAGAAGGCTGAAATTGGCCACTGAAAATTTCTGAAAGGTAAGATGCGACCGCATAGAAATAACCCTATGTGACCGCATAGGTTTAAGATTTTTTCACCTGATAGTTTTCAGTATTTTCATCATAACTTTTTCTCCTGATATCCGATTGAGGTGATTTAAGATGCGTTAGAAAGATAACTCAAAGAGATACAACTTTGCTTCAGATTCCATCTTCGAATTCAATCATTTTCTATATCAAAAACTAGTCTCAATATGAGGCTAAAAATCGATGCAAAACTTTTCAGTTTGAAAGTTGATATATGATAATGTTTTGGCTATATTTCATCTCTTTGACTTCTTCCTTCATCCAATTGACTCTAACACTCTCGAATCTTCATCCAAGGTTAGAAACAACTTTAGAGTATCTGTCCTTTAGTCCCTGAACTTCCGTTTTCCCCAATTTGGTCATTTTTCACTCGTTTCTCCTCAATTTCGTTGCATTCATCACTTTGTCTTGCAAAATATGAATTACATAGAATTAAACTATATTTCAACATATTAATCAACAATTTCTCATGAATTTTAGTCATTTTTATATTCATTTTCTTGTCTCTATTTACCTCCATAACTAATGAATGAAATAAGAGTATTTGCCTTTGAACCCATATTTGTTGTGATTTTTCAAAATGACCTCAAAAGTAAAGGTATTTGTGTAAGCACCCCTTTATCTCAAATGTACATTATGTTGGTAACAATTCACAAATTGCCCCAAAAAGTTATTAACAAGAGTGTGCATTTTTTTCTTAGAACCAGTAGAACTGCACTAGAACAGGATAGAATCGGTCGGTCCGACTCCGTTTCCTTTATGAAATAGATCGATTTTGGGACCATGCATCGAGAACCAATAAATTTTGATCCGATTCTTGGTACTGTAGCCTTAAAATTAATAGTGAATTCGGTTCTCCCTAATTCCTCTTTTGTTGGTATATTGCACAAATATGCAAAAGACATTTGAACATTAGACTCTCAAATTATCTCACGCCACAATTTTTTTCCACACTACTTCTTCTTCTTCTACAATAAAATTAATGGCTAATCAATATTTAAATCTAAATAATTTTATAAATACTTTTAAAAAAAATTAGTTCAATATTTCATAAGAACTCTAATTTTTCGTTGTTTTCAAAGTGGTTGATCGTCAGAATGAATATATTTTCATTGAAGATTATTGAAGATAATCTAATTATAAATACTACGTACATTTTCTAATACTAGTCAAAGTTGAACGAGTATTGGACGTTATTCTGAGATACTTTATAAGTGCTAAGTGGTGCAGAGATAATATTTGATACCAAATTGTTGGGAGGGTTTGATGAGTTTCAAACGAACTAAAGAAAATAAAATTTAAGATATAAATTTAAGAGAAGAAAATTGTGCTTTCAAAATACAACTTC